TTTTCATGAATGATACTGATTTACTGACTTTAACCACCACTTTCATTTTCTTTGGTTTCCCAAACTTACAATTTCGATCAAACATATAATAAAATTGTTCGATAACACACTTAAGCAATAAGTTCTATATAAAAAATGAAAACAACACTTTATAAATGTCAAGCGTAAGAAGCTTTTTTTTCTGGATTTATCTTCATCACAAACGCTCAAAGTCGATTATTTGAAAGCAAAAGATGAATAAGAACCGAAACAGTTGAACAGCTGTATAAATAAAAAGTATCTCATATAGTAGCCAAATTCATCAAAGGTGGATTGCCTTTAAGGAATTGAAACCTTAGTTTTTTTGTTATAATTCATAAAATTTTTAACCGAAAACTAAGCAATTTATTGTTATAAATCATGTCAGTACCAACGTACTGACTACTGAGCTAATGGAGCTACTGATGGATTATCAAAATGCAGTGTTTGAATAAGTCAAAGTTTAAATAGTACGTTATATAAAATGCAAACTGAAACAAGTTTTAATGTTTCATGTGCAATACTACTTGGTCAATGCGGTCGTTGGATTTATCTACATCTGCATGCTAGATGGTCTGTCCCCGAAAGTACAATATTAACAGATATTGTCGGTGCTCCTATTCTGGTGTTGTCAGTGACACATTTTGATCTTAACTTTTCTCACAAGATTTTGTCTGTTCTAGTTAGTTCCTTAGGCTTGGAAGCTCCTTGTTCTTTCATTTTGGCTTCGAAAAGTTATATAAGTTTCAGTGGATATAGTAAAGAAATGTGTGACTCTTTTGTCGTCTTCACTTGAACTGGTGTTATGGTAGCTTTATATAACCCTTAAATTTACGCATACAAAATCGTTGTGATGCATGTAGATAATACAAACCGAAATTTTGAAGATCAACTTGACTGACAACGCTAATTTCAGCACATTTACATATTCCTTTAATTGAAATTTACAAACAAGTATCATGCATACAAAAATAGCACTTTATAAAGGTCGTGCTTTTTTATATACTTACACAGGGACACTTAAAAACTGGGTATGTATAAATACATATACACTTTATGAATAAGATGAATAAAGGAACAAAAAAAAAAGCCAAATTTATATAAGAGTCCGTTGGAGCTTTGGGCTCCAAGTAATAAATCATGATAATACCGAAGTATATATTGCAAATGCTAATTTGAAAGCACTGTGATTTAGTTTATACACAGGCTAATCCATTTAAATGTATTGAACGTTTTTTTGTTAGATAGTATTTCGTCCAAAGAGAAGGAACAGTTTTATTACCACGTCGACAATGAATCCTTCTTTGTCGCAGATTTTTAAAAACCATGTTGATGAATCGTTGCCGAACCAGTAATCTTATAGGACTACTTATGTGTATACAGAAACTACTACTCAGTTTACAAAAACATTTAAGTACAAACTCCATCTGCATCAAATGTTATACTGTTGGTATACAAGTAGGTTAATTTGTATTGTTAATTAAAATAATATTATGAACATTAACGGTACCAATTTTACTGCACTAAATGCGCGTATCGACCATTATAGCCTCTTCAGTGATAGTCAAGGCCAAAACATACAAACACGTTGAAGAGGTGCTTAAACCAAACGAGCAAAAAGTACAGTCAAATCCGCACAAGAAATTAAAGCTATGCTTCAAGGAGATACATTCCGTTATTTCTAAATACATATATAACATGGGGATTATGTCAAAGAGACAACAACCCGACAAAAGAGCAGATAACAGCCGAAAGCCACTAATGAGTCTTCAACGCAGCGAGAAAATCCCGCACCCGGAGGTGGTCCTCAGCTGGCCCCTAAATAAAAATTTGTACTAGTTCAGTGAAAATGGACGTCATACTAAACTCCAAAACATATAGATGAACTAAAATAAAAAAAAAACAAGAGGCTCTCAAGAGCCTGAATCGCTTACCTGTAATTTTTTGCTTAAATCTTTCATCAATGATTATTTTTGCTTTTCAATATATATTAATGAATGGCCTAAAACTTCCATTAAATTGTTCTTTGTATCTGTCATATTTTTTTCAAAATCAAAGAAATGCATTTTACCCCTATGTTTCATTTTAGCCATAGTGGCTATGTTTCTTGACGTACAAGAAAATAAAATACAAAATTTATACTAGATGCTCTGAAACTCATTCAGCCCAAGTTTGGCTGAAATTGATTCAGCAGTTTCAAAGGAGAAGATTTTTCAAAGTAAGCAAACTAAATGAACAAATTGTGAAAAATTGATTTTAAAGGGCAATTACTCCTTAAGGGGACAATTGACAATTTTGGTCGTCCGAACTTTTTTGTAGATCTTACTTTGCTGAACATTTTTGCTGTTTACAGTTTATCTTTATCATTAATAATATTCAAGATAATAACCAAAATCAGCAAAATTTCCGTAAAAATTACCAATTAAGTGGCAGCAATCCAACAATGGGTTGTTAGATTCATCTGAAAATGTCATGGCTGACAGAGCTTGGCCTAAAAAAACATTTTCACCTATCATCAGATTAGCTCTAAATGCTTTGGTTTTTGAGATATAAGCCAAAAATTGCATTTTACCCCTACGTTCTATTTTTAGCCATGGCGGCCATGTTTTTTACGAAACAGAAAATAAAACCCAAACTTTGTTCTAGATACCCTTAGAATCATTCAGATTAAGTTTGGTTGGAATTGGTTTAGTAGTTTCAGAGAAGAAGATTTTTTAAAAGTTAGAAAACATGATAAATAAATTGTGTAAAATTGTCCTGAAAGGGCAATAACTCCTTAAGGGGTCAATTGACAATTTTGATCATATGAACTTATTTGTAGATCTTACCTTGCTGAACATGTTTGCTGTTCACAGTTTATCTTTATCATTAATAATATTCAAGATAATAACCAAAAACTGCAAAATTTCCTTAAAATTACCAATTTAGTAGCAGCAACCCAACAATTGGTTATCAGATTCAACTGAAAATTTCAGGGCTGATAGAGCTTTACCTAATGAACACTTTAAACCCCATGTCAGATTTTCTCTAAATGCTTTGGTTTTTGAGATATAAGCCAAAAACTGCATTTTACCCCTATGTTTTATTTTTAGCCATGGCGGCCATGTTATTTCACAAAACAGTATATAAAACACAAACAATATTTTAGATACCCTAAGCATCATTCAGCTAAACTTTGGTAGGAATTGGTTCAGTAGTTTCAGAGGAGAAGATGTTTGAAATAGTTTACACCAGACGGACGACGACAGACGACGACGGGCGACGACAGACGACGGACGACGACAGACGACGACGGACGACGACGGACGACGGACGTCAACAGACGACGACGGACGCTTAGTGATGGCAAAAGCTCACATTTCCTTCGGAACGGTGAGCTAAAAACATACAAGACTAACAAAGGCCAGAGGCTCCTGACTTTGGACAGGCACAAAAATGCGGCGGGGTTAAACATGTTTTGTGAGATCTCAACCCTCCCCCTATACCTCTAGCCAATGTAGAATAAAGAAACTCACAGCAATACGCACATTAAAACCCAGTTTAAAAGAAGTCCGAGTCCGATGTCAGAATAGGTAATAAAAGAAACTAAGCAAAATCACAATGATACATAAATTAACAAAGGACTACTAGCAGTTACTGACATGCCAGCTCCAGACCTCAATTAAACTGATTGAAAGATTATATCTTCAACATATGAAAATCAAGCACAGACCCTCCCGTTAGGGGTTTAGTATTATACCATCATAAAATATATGAGAAGAACATAATCCGCATCATGCCAACAACTGGTTTTAGAATAAATGTGTTTATTTCCGATGCAAAGACCCTATGAGTGAATCATTATTAATACCAAAATATGCAATCCTTAATGACTTGACAACAGTATCGATTTATGTTCATATTGACTGAATAATTCTGTTTTAAAATTTTGTTAGCTTTTGAGGTGAGTACCTACATTTTTGTGCTTTGTAAAGAATATTACTATAAAAGATTGGATGTGAATTACCTGAACGTATAAGATGTCTGCATGTTGATTTATATTTACGAATGATGTCCTTGTACCGATGATAAAATTTAGTAATTGTTTTGACTAGTTTGTGATATCGAAAACCCTGGTGTAATAATTTTTCAGTAATACAGTTCTTTCGTTAAAATCAAAATAACATCAAATCTAAAAAAAACAAACAAAAAAAACAATACCATATTTTCATTTATCCTGGCCTAATGATATCATCAGGACTTACAGTTCATCTGCAGAATATTCGACCCAGTGGTAGTGATAACATTCACGATACAAATGTTACTGCACCAGATGCTCATTTTGATAATGAAGGTTTGTAATGAAGAGAAATGACGAACATATATTTTGTCAATTTGTTTTCGGTAATTTTGACTGCAGTGTCACTTCTCTATATAAACATGACATTCACTGTTTACTAAAACCTCTAGCTAAGATAATTTTTCGTAAAGCTTGATTTGGAAAGCTGAAAGGCACGAATATTGTTAACCAAAGCCTAAGAGTTATATTAAGCTAATAGTCAGACAACATTAATAAAAAAATAATGTGAAGTTTAAAGGCTTTTCATTAATATAATTTACTTGATCGATGATAGGATATAGACTCTAATATCAACGCTTCACACGATGTCATGATACCAGGAATATAATATTTATTGTGTATGTTATTGAGGATTTACGAGTCGGTTAACTTCTAAAGCTTTTATGCTATTTAATATACCTATTATTATTTTTGCATGTTAGTTTTGTTTCTTTTAATACACGTACTATCATATAAACCTTAGCTATCAGTTATTACTTCTTCTAAATTTGTTATATTCATAGTTCTGTTCATATTCTTCTCTTTTCAACCTTTGTTTTAGATAGAGATAAATCGATATTTTGCGTTGTATCTCATTCATTTATTATCATTCAACTCATTTGTCAAGACCTTCAGACATTGTTGTTTGAAATAAAACGATTGGTCATCATATTGTTACTTATTATTTGAAACAGTATACATTATTTATGATAAAAAATTAAAACATTCCAATGCTATGCTGTAAAATAGTTTTCAGCTAATTAATTTGAGTGTGCTAGTGGCTATTCAAGACCTAGGTGATTATAAATTGCATACTTGTTAAGGATGTATATATATGTAGCGTTATCAATATTCAACAAAGCCCAGTTATTTTTTCAATTTGAAATTTGCTGTGATATTGTTTTAGAGAGTACAACCTGCATATATTCTGTGGTTCAAAGTTTTAAGACTTGATTTGTTTGTTTTTACCATTCTGGTTTATAATAATTTCTTGTTTTATACCATATTTGAAAACACATTTCCCTTCAAGTTTAACATATGCTGTCCCTTCTCTGTCTTCTACCAGAATTTCGCCCTTTTCGCTTTTAATTTTATCTTGTTTTTCAACCAAAATTGTCCTCATGTCTGCTTTATAAGGCATTAGATATTCGTTGTTTTTTCTTTTATAGAACTCAACTAGTACCGCTCCTTTTACTGCAACGCGTGTAGTAAAGGAATAAGTGCTTTTCTTTTCTGTAATTTGAAGTTTGGCAGTTACTTCGGATTCCTTCTCAACTAACAAAACACCTTCTGCAGCCCACGTCATCGTTTTTTGATCTTCAGTTTCAAACGCATTTTCAACAGAGAAACCTTTAGAAAAACCAGCGGTTGTTCCAACTATTGCGGCGGGAGAGGCCAATGACAAGCCAACATTGAAGCCGGTTGTATAACCTTTAGTTAATGAGCTCTTGCAAGTTGCTGTTGTCTGTTGTTCAGTCTTCAATGAATGTTGTTGCTCTTTATTGCTGTTATTGCAAAATACTGATTCAAATAAAATATTTGATTCACATTGAATTGTTTCTTCTTTCGAATATTCAGGTTCCTCTGGTATGAATTTAACACCCCTCCAATCAAAAACTAATCGAACATTTTTCATTGCCTTAGGAAAATCTTTTTGTCTGCAATCGCTATACATTTGCCAAGCAGAGTCAGAAACAATCTTTTGTAGATCGACTATATTTTCTGATACTACTCCAGTTGAAGTCTAAAAGTAGAGAATGTTATATTTGGAAAGTGCAATTATAAAATGATTATTGGATATATGCAACTTAAACAGTTAAAAGAAAGCGATCAGCAAAAATGGGGATTGAACCATGTAAAAACATTATTTCCATACAAACGTATGAACAAAAATATCGACCTTAAAGATAAATTAAAAAAAAGAAAACAATACAATCTGAAAAAAAAAACAAAAAAACAACTCTCTACTCTATCATCCAACAGAACTAATAGGAAATAATTGTCATATTCCTGACTTGGTAAAGAATGTAAAAATAAAGAGATGTGCTATAAGTAACAAAGGGGCAACTAGAGTAAGTATGTCTATGGTGTAAGTTTACACAGTTTGGGCTCATATTTATTTGTACATATAAATATCAAATTTATGATTCGCAAAGAACCACTTGCACACCAAATGATAGTCAACATACGGAACTCTTGTGATGGGTTAACTGCAGGATAGAATGTTTTAACTGGTCGAAGATGACTTTGATACAGCTTTTGAAATCTACGGCAAATCAGAATGGAATCTGCTTTATAAATTTTAACTTATAGTTACATTATAGAAAAGTCTCGCAATCTGATTAACACATGACATTCTTCTATTATATTGTTACATACTTCACACACGAAACTAAATTTACCGTTTTGTTTTGCAAGACGTGTATGTACAATTATAAGTGATGAGCCAATGAAGGAAATCCAACTGAGAAGCTTTTTGAAGGAACAAAATTGTCCAAGCCCATGTATAGACCATGAAATAGTAAAGATAAAAATAATGCTCATGACAGAACTCAGATCGACAGCACAAAGAAAGAGAAAAACGAAACTCATTCCACTTAGTAGCTCTCATCCTGGCTCTGTTTACCAAAAAAAAAAAAAAAAAATCCTGAAAAGTAAACGTCAGTGTCGAAATCTGGACAGGGACTTAATTTCATGAAACAACTAGAATAAAATACATCTTTTTATAATGCAATGATCCAAGAGGGTCTATGTGAATATTTGGAAACCGGATCCCAAATAACATTATAAATGCTAAAATCACTGTGTCAAATACAGATAGAAGTGGTAAAACAAAATATTTAATTTACTGTATTGTATTAAGCACTTGCAAGGAATGGTATAAGGGGTAGACCAGTAATTCCTCCTGGATAATAGTCCGTATCCAAAGACAGGATAATAGAGATTTGACCATAATAATGCTGTAAACGAACATTTAGAAACATGCAATCAGTAGAGGAAAATGTAACGTTTTGCCCGGCTTTGGCTATACTTTTTTGTCCTTTTTGGTTTAAAGCTCTTCATTCTTTCAAAAAGCTTTGGGTTTTCAAATATTTTGGCCTCGAGCATCACTGAAGTGATATTGATTGTCGAAATGCGCATCTGGTGCAGAAAAATTGGTACCGTTTATGTTTTACGTTTTATAAAATAAATGACTCTTACATGTCTTGCGTACTGCTGTACTCCAATTGTTGACGTTTTAACCACTTATGTCTGTTTGTTTTGCTCACACATTGTTGTCAATATAAAGGAATTCAATGCGACTGTCATACAGATGAAAGGTTTAGCTAGCTATAAACAAGGTTTAATCGACTATTTTGTACATAAGGAAATGTCTGTACCCATTCAGAAATATGACAGTTGTTTTGCATTCGTTAAATGTGTTTGAGTTCTTGAGTTCTTGATTTTGCCATTTTCCGTTTGGAAAATGTTGTTTGTGCTGTATTTATACCCCTCTAGCAAGAAATTTGATTTGCATGCACACGTATGAAAATTGCGGTTTTTATCCAACGCTATCATAGGTTTGAACGTTGTTTTCAATTTAGACTTGTATATATACTATAAGATCAATATATAATTGGGATAGCTGTAGTGTTATATATATATATATATATATATATATATATTGATCTTATAGAATGCCAGTTTTGTGGTAGTTTGGTTAATTGCTGTTAAATTTAAGGATTTAAATAATAGCTAAAAAAAAGCACAATGAACAATAACATGAATAAAGTTAGGTTTGTGACCTCCGATATGTTAATTTGTCACAGCAGACTTTCCACAAACGCCTCAATGGACAATGGATTGATGTCTTTAAGAAGTCACTCCTCTCAGTTAGTCAGCATTTCAGACAATCGGGTCACAAACTTGATGATTTTAACCGCATGAAAATAATATTGATTGAACAGACCATTCCCTGGAGTGATGCCCAGCGACAGTATAGGGAAAGCTTTTGTATAAAAGAAGTAAATTTTCTTTATTCAAACGGCATCAATAAGAAATACTAGCAGTTTCATACAGTGACTTTTTTTTTAAATTGGTGTCACGCCATTCTATTGTTGTACCTGTTCTTTATTTCAGCGATTGGACTTTCATGTACCTGTAAGAAACCATTTTGTTACCTTTAACTGTTCAATACTTTGAAGAACAACTCTCTTCTTCTTAAAAATATTGGACAGCTCCAGGTAGCATAATTGATTGTTACAGGTAAAGGATAGTCCAAGGACTAAAAAAAAATCTGTCAATTCACATAATTTGCTTCTTTATTGATAAATAAAATTTGAAACGAAAGAACAAATTACAATTACACCATTTTTTATTATTAAGGTCATCTGTCAATACAATAATATCGTTACATCTAGACGGTCTCATAAAAAAACCTTTTAAATTGATTTCAACACTGCCAGTATCAATATTTATTTAACATCCATTTTGTTCATGTTTCGTGTTCGTTCCGTTAGCACATATTTTGTTGACAATGCTCGTTGTTCACAATGTTGTTAGTTTGTTTTTTGGTACTTTTATGTATTTCTTTTTGCATAAGATTTGTTATATCCTCGTACGTCTTTGGATATTGAAATCGATATCTGAGTTGCTCTCATTCTTCTAAACATCATGTTCAACTACAATGAAAAAAATAACATAATGCTTCTTACGTTTGAAAGATCCTGCCGAAATACGAGGACCACAAAGAAATATTCGTTTATCTGAAGTAGATGTTTTACCAAGTGTTGATGTGCAGGCAACAGATTGTTCCTATGACAAAATAACTAATTAAGAATTTTATCAACAACCTTAATCTCAGCCTGTGTACAGAGTGCAAATCGATAATTTGTTTCATGAACTATACAGTCCGCCAAAAGTTAAGCACCACCTAAATATAACTGGCAATATTTTTTTAACTATTGCGAAAAAAATATTTATGTTTGGTGTTATGAATTGCCTATAACATACACTAAGAAAATTCATTACGGCCCAAAAAATAAACTCCGATAAACACGCCAAGCAATTTTTAATTAAAGGTCATCTGCACTTTTTCGAATACACTGTTTCGATGCCTTAAAAATCATCTTCCTACTGTCCCGCATACAGGTGAAATTTGACCTTCACCAAGTCACTGTGAAAATATGGCAATGTGACTGAACCTTGACAAGCAATTGACATGTAAAATGCCGGTAGGAGCACTAGTTGCATAGGTAACCATTTCAATGTTAAACACACCGTCATTGTCAGATGTTTACAACGTCATGTTGACACAGGAACTGTAAATGATAGGTTCGGAAGACCCCGTTTAACTACCGATCATGATGACAGACTCATTATTGGTTGTGTTAAAGCCAACCCGTTTACAACTGCCCCATCAATAAGACACCACTGGCGTCAAGGTGGTCATGTTAGTGTTCGAACATTGGTCCGTCGACTTCATAGAGGCTACCTAAGAGCATGTCTTGTTGTCAAGAGACCTGCCCTAACAGCCAGGCACCGTATAATCAGGTTTCAAAGGGCTAATGACCATTGACGCTAGAACATGAGAAGCTGGCAAAATGTTCATTGGTCAAATGAGAGTCAGTTTCTGTTACGACCAATAGACGGCAGAATACGAGTTTGTCGTGGAAATAAAACTGCTAATGACCAAAACAACATTTGCCTAACGACTGCATACGTTGCTGGTGGTGTTACAGTATGAGGTTTCTTCTCATACTGTTGTAAGGTGGGTATGAATATTCTGCAGGGTAACATGAACGGACAGACATACAGAGAGTTTATGTTTAGAAACATTGTAGTCCGTCATTTTGATAATCCTCCACTTGCTTCAAGACCCTTGTGCATGTACGACAATGCTAGACCACACAGGGCAAGGATTGTAACCGAGTACAAAGAGCAAGAAGCCATTGACACTATCTTTTGGCCTTCCATGTCTCCAGACATGAACCCTATCGAACATGTCTGGGATGCCATTGGCAGAAATCACAATCGCAGAGATCCACCATTGCAAAATCTAAGCGATTTAAGAACCGCAATTGTTGTTGAATGGAATAAATTTGCTCAACTAAAGTTCAGAAGGCTTGTACAGAGTATGAGACTCCGTGTTATGAAACTGTACCGGAAGAGAGGGTGTTACATATCCTATTGACTCAAATATTGACATTAAATTTGCCGAACATTCCAAAGATTATTTGTAGAGACTTTTAATGATGTTGGGTGATTAATTGTTGTAAAAAAAAAAAAAAAATCACAGTGAAACTTAAATTCCGTTTCTGATTTGTGTAATTTTCACTATTTCTATGAACGCACATTTAAAATGCACAGAACCTGCATATGTGAACAAACTTAAGTCTACGGTTTGTTCATGGTATATGTTAGCAAAATTGCTACATGAATATTTTCTCTTTTTCGAGGAGTAACGATTTTTTTTTAAATGAAAAAAATTTCGATGCAATAAAAATAGGTGGTGCTTAACTTTTGGCGGACTGTATAGAAGGCTACAACAGTTTTTATAATTTTCAGGTTTAGGCGTTGATTTTGGAAGTTTTTTATAGTGTTGTATTTGAAATAAAATCCACTTCGATGCATGGTATGGTTGAACTTTTTTTCTGCAACGCGAACCTGTCTACTTACTTCTTTTTTTCTTTCGCTTAATGAGAAATAAAACCCCAGAAATATACGAAAATAATAGGAGAGGACTTCATTTAATAATATATAAAAAAACTTGCCATTATCAAAGCTGTTATAAATAATTCCTCCTCGTTGTCCTCACTGCAATCGGATATATCTGAACACATTTAATCCAAAGTTGGAAACAACACATTCACTATATTCGACATCGGTATCTTCTTGTCGAAAAGAATTTTGCATAAAGAATATACTGCCGTGAAGTTAATCTTTATTAATTTTTGGACACCAAATGCATGCGAAGGAGTTCACGTAAAATATATTGTGTAGTCCTAGCACGTGCAAAAAACAAGATACACATGCACTGTGTCTTTATGTTCCTTTTGCTATATATGTTGTTTACCTTCAACTCTATATATTTTCTATTATTTAAGTTGAGCTACTATAAAAAGGGGCCAATTTGTAGGATAAAATAAATAAATTTTATTCACAACAACTTACGCACTCAATGAAAATAAATCTCAACAAAAGTTTGTATTAATTTTGTTTGCTTTTTCTGATCTTACCTTCTTTTACTAGTTAAACAATGTTTTAAGTATGATGTAAGCCTCTAACAGACTAGGTTCATTCTGTAAATATTGAATAGGTCCAATATTTTACAGAATGGACTGTTTGTTATCGGCTTATATCCTTTACGTAAAATCTGTGCTCGACCTTACTGGTTTTTAGTGATAACTTTAGAGATTGTTACGGTTAAATCAGGATAGATTGATTTGATTTATTTTACATTTTCATAATCATACTGATGAATGATATTTGTTATCCGTCCGAAATATGTTGAGATACTTATATTTAATGTTTCCTGTTTTCAATATTGGTGATTTTTGTTTTCTATTTTTTCTTTTTTTAAGATATATTAATATGAAAAGATTTCTTCAAAATTAAATCATAGAGATATTATATATATTAAGAAACTTACATATGTATCTATGTCTGAGCCACTGAAGCACTGTCCCATTATTGGTGCTAGTTATGAACAGATCAAATCTGAAATTGCAATACACTTAAACTGAAAAAATTACAAGTTAATGATTATAAAAACGATACAAATAACAGGTTGTAAAGTAATATGTATTTCCCTTTATAGCAGTATAAAATCATTGTAGTTGCAGCAGTGACTTGGTGATCATGGCAGCTACTTAATTGTCTCTGTTTAATTAATTTACAACCTTTGTGTAATCACTCAGATTTAGTGTATGGCTCATTATAGGACACTTGTTTATTGTATAAGATCGTATTTGTTTTTGTTTTCAAATGTTTCGTCGATACCTCTATTATTATTATCTCATTACACAGATTGTCAGATTTGTCGTTAGGGATACGTAATTCACACATCATGCAGTCACATCAATTCTAATTTTACAAAATGGAGGATAATCAAAATTGAAACACATCAGGAAGAAAAAAAGAGGCGAAAGAACCAGAGGGACACCCAAACTCAGAAGTCGAAAATAAACTGACAACGCCAAGGCTGAAAAAGAAAAGGCAAACAGACAGTTAGTATTACACAAAACACAACATATAAAACTAAAGACTTAGCAACACGAACCTCACCAAAAACTGGGTGTGGTCTCAGGTGCTCCAGAAGGGTAAGCAGATCCTGCTCCACATGTGGCACCCGTTGTTTACTCATGTTAGTATAATCGCAATAATAAGTCTAAGTCGGTAGGTCGCATTCGGGAAAAGGTGACGGGATTGTAGTTACGACATTAGGAACATATTCGTTATCATCTGTGAAACGAATTTTTTATTACGGTCAACTAACTCGTGATGGCGTCCATAAAACGTACGAAGGAATTATTTCAACTTCACCACTTGGAACTCTTCGTTTAATAGGTTACTTGTGAGCAGCAACCCTCTATCAAGGAAGTCATGATAGAAAATACAAGTCCTGGGATATCGGGGACAACTGGGAGATAAATACTCCGTATGCAGGGGCTGCTAGAATGTTGCTACATAGAAATGGAAAGTGCACAATTTGAAATCTGAAATCATTTCTTTTGTCGTTAAGTTTTCTTTTCAACCGACCATCATTGTCAATTTATAGATGTACGTCAAGATATGGTGCATACTTCACTGTATCTGTTTTATCCTTTATCTCATGTTCAATAGTATAAGTGCGTTCAACATAGTCACCAAATTTACAATTATTTAGTGAGAGAACATCATCTACATAGCGGAAAGTAAAGTTAAGACGGATACTGCTGACTTTTTTTCTTTCTTTCGAAGAAGTTCCTGTAAAAAGCCCGCCTCATATAAGTAAAGGAAGTCGGCAAGAAGAGAGACACAGTTTATGTGAATGCCGATTGTTTGTTGAAAAACACGTCCCCCAAACGTAATGAATATGTTGTCAATCAGGAAATAAAGCATCTTGATAATGTCAGTTTCAGAAAATGTGTTGTTTGAATCAGAGTGTTTTTTTTACAAAGTAGGATTTATTCCTCTCCAAGACAAGATACATGCATCTACGTTGGCCATATATTTTAATGAAACAAATCAGGACCAACTCTTTTAATTTGTCTTCTAGTTAGAAATTGGGAATACTTGTGAAAAGTGTAGACAAGTCAAATGTTTTAATACTATTGCAAGACACAAATCGTATTGGTAGAACTATTCGGATGAGGCATATTCAATCGATGTGTCAATTAAATGTGTTTCTTTTCATATTCTAAAATCTACTGCAAAATATCCAAGCACGATCATTAGAAGTTTGCAGTATTATCAACATGTACGCTTGACACTGCTATATGCATGTATTACACATACTCAATTGAAAGATCGAAAACAGCGCCTTCAAACAAAAATAAATAAAGTTTGTAGATACACATGTGTTGTTCTAGTCGTATTCTTGCATACGATATATCACAGTGAACTTGAAAGTAAAGATACTACCGAAACTAACTGCTTCATATTTTGATCTCTTTCTAAATATTGACACACGTAGTTTGCGACAATTTCAAATCAAGTTCTAATTTCTCTGCATTAACATACCCCTTGACCCATCGTTTGGGTTTTCATAACTCAATTAATACCTCATGCTGGCTCATGCTCATACTATACGGACTTCATTACATGGAGCATTGGTGTGTTCTTTACACAAAATGGACCCAACACAGTTACGAAGAAGACCGACCTAAATCAACTCTACACATCTGAGACTGCAAAGATATGCTTCTATAAAGAATAATTATGTGTGATATGAACTGGTACACACTGTCACCATCCTGAGTTTCATGACCGATACGATATGCCTGTGAATCAACTAGTTGGAGAATGTTTTCGATGTCTAAGATCTTTATGAAAATGATTGGTCGTCTCATTTGTAATCTAACCGATTGTGCCTATTTATGATCGCGAAACAATTACCGTTGTAAAACAGCACATGAATAATAACCATTGCACGTCTGGCTAGAGACCTGATCTACAAATCGGGAGATATATTTTTACAACCGCTTCCAGTTCAAAGTTAAAAAAAATTCAGGCAATCTTCATGATACTATGACAATAGCATGTACTGACGAGATCGATATAACTATAATAGGGTAAAAGTAAGTTCAAATGCTGGAAGAAGTCAAATATTTTTCTCATGCGTTGTTCAAGTAATTTTGAAACAAAAATCAAAATGGTACATGACATGATCAAAACATGGAAATCATATAATCTGTATTCAGACAACACATTTTGAAAATATCATTTCATTATTGCATGGATATTGGGAAATGTTATCATGAGTAGAATTTTTTTTATCGAACTAGTTTATTCCATTTGCAAACATATTTTAAGCACATTGTTTGTCAAAGGTGACGTCACTTACTTTAAATATTATTTACAGAAGGCCATACGATTATATTATTCTATCCTTAATGTTGATTACTTAATGTTTGAATTTTTAAGTATACGACTGATGTTAACAATTTGTGTTCCTTTATCATCGGTACGTTTGTATTTCGTATTTCAATTCAACATTCCTTTTTTAAATCTGTATTCAAAAAATCATTAATGTGTTTATTAAATGTAATGATAGACGTATTATCGTATTTTATGTCGATTTCACAGAGAAATATCAAAACATCATAACATTAATTTCTGTCACATACTAATCTAGAATCTACAACGCGGAACAGTGCCTTGGTATGCAAACATGGTTTTGGTTTTGGTAGACATTCAACGGCATGTCAATGTTGTTATGTCGATTATTATTTAAGATAAATAAATAAGAAAAAAATCAAATATTTGATACTACAATTCACTAATGGGGGACGTATGATTGAAACCACTATTTAGCACTGGAAATTGCAAAATTATATTGCCTTTTAAGCTCCCAGGTATCAGCAGCCCAGTATTCCGTAATTTTATGTTTACAAGAATTATTGTTGATATAGTCATAAGCCAAACATTAACTGTTTACAAAACTTTTAATTATTTTAAATACTAAGGGTGTCTTGCACCAGGAATAAATAACCCCAGCTGTATTTGACAAAACCTTTCGGAATTATGGGTCATCAATGCTCTTCAACTTCGTAATTTATTTGACATTTCAAACTGTTTGGTTCGTTTTGAGTTTGTAGACGAAAAGGGCGTCTGGCGTTCACAATTTAAATCCTGATGATTTTATTATTATCACTCTAATGTGTGACCTAAGATGGCAACTTTACGCAAAGTGTTTGGACACTATAGATATTTGCCAAGGGTTACCAAAATACACATTCAATTGGATTCTTTGTTAACTATATCTTTAAGGGCATCATGTTTTATATTCAGGACTCAGTCCTTTGATATACTTTTGTATGAAGTTACATAGGAGATGAGTCTACTCATGTAGTATGTTGTGCGCGCGACCGTGAGACTAATTTTAAAAAATATGCTATACATTTTGTAGAATTGATTTACTTTATTGAATCATATTGTATCTGCAAATAGTGTTGAGTAATTAGAAAAATTGCTCAACATTACAAAAAGAAACCATTTTGAATCCAAAAGTCAAATAAGTGAAATTTCTTGTTTAAACGGAATGGCAAGCAGAAACTCCTTCAAATTTGAAACACTGTCTGTTATAGATAATGCATATTTCAAGGTTTTTCTTGTCGTAGCACACACTGAGGGGTGTCATGATTGATCAAATGAAAGATCGACCGTAGGGAGGTCTTTCTTTGGGCAATCCTGACACCCCGAGGTGTGTTCTACGACAAGAAAAACCTTAAAATATGCATTATCTGACTTATATACCGTCAAAAAAATATTGTTTTTTATAAAGATTTGCAAAATTTAGCATTCTATTTTACCAACCACACTAAAGTGGGATATTCCTTTCTTATGCGTTCAGGTTTTAACACGCCCTACGGCTCATTCAGAATGTGAAATAAAACTCACAAATTAATCTAGATATAAACCTTAGAAATTATTATCCATACACAATAAAAAATATTACTGTAACTGCATGAAGTAAGACACAAATGAATTGTTACCATCTGATAACGGTGTATGAAAAATACAAGACACTTTGTAAGTAATTTATTGTACCAACTTAGTTTATGGAAAGGGGGAGGTGCTATGTTTTTTTTTTCTATTTGTAATGACATTTTATTGCGGAAAAGTGATTATTTTTTTCAACAATTTTAATTGAATCGAATGAAATGTTCAGAATTATTTTCTTTTGAATAGCAATACATTTTTTTAACAGATAATCAGGATATAATTATAAACCCTCCCCCACCCGACCTCATTTTGAGGTACGTGAATGTCATTCAATAGAATATAAGAATATTTTATTAGTTAATCATTTGATAGAGTAAAAGGTATACACAAATGTAAAAAAGTTAAGAACTGACACGAAGGGGGCACGAAATCGTGATACATGTACCTGTTACACGAAAACGAATATCAATACATGTAGGTCACAGTATGATTTCCTATTCAGTGTGTATCGTCCTGAACATGCATGAAATATTTGCCACTGGACGTTAAGTAACCATGAATCAATCAACCTATTCAGTGTGAATCAATAAGATTTTCAAAATCTTACACACGAATATGTTAAATGTGGCTTTATTTTAAAGTGTAATGAAAATTTTAAAGTGTAATGAAAGTTTTACATTAAAATTTATCTCGCATATATGATAATGTCTCTGTATCTTAGCGACAAGTTAACAAAACTTCACATTATTTGTTTCTAAAATTAAATTCGGGCAATGACGATTTTTTTTTACACCTATCAAAGATTGAACTTTAAAAAAAAAATTCCCAAATCGGCAACAGAAACTATCAGACGAATATAATTTTGAAGTAAATTATAGTTTGCATTTTTATCAAGGAAAATAATAACCTCAAACAGGTCATTATTTTATGCCTTGGAGAATATTTCAATGAAACATGGTATCGTCCGGGTTGATTGTTCGAAAGAATGACCTATCGTTCTGAATGAAAATAACTCCATATAGGTATATAATCAATAAGAATACATGATACAAAGGAGGTGGTATGACGTATGATAAAAGCCATTTTTTTACCCCTTCAAAACAGCAAAAGGTACCAAATTCGCCTTCTTTTGAAATCTTTTCATTTTATGTAGAATGATATATGCAACAATTTGCCCGACATAATTATATTATGCTAAACATGTATTTTACTAACACATTTATTTGTGTTAACTATAGTTTATGGTACAAATGTTGCACACATATGTATATATATTTTCAGTCTGTTGATGATTTCGCAAAAAAATGTCGTAAGTTTAATTAGCTAAATTCTTTTTCTTCTCGTTTTAATCGAGGCAGTTTTGCACAAAATTTGAGAATTGTGGAGACCTGGAGTAAATTTGTTAAACATTATCCAAAATTATAAATACTGATGTCTGAAATGTAAATGTCTTATGAACATAATTATATTAAGTAGATTTATCATATGTTTTGATTTTCGAATTTGTGGATTCAAAATAGGTCTTATACCTTTTCTTTGAAAAATACATTTATTTAGTTTAAAACTTTTAATCAGTTTCTAATTTATTGACCAGTATCAAATGCATAATACAAACAATGTATTACAAGAAGACAAAAAACAATGAAACTTAGAGGTTTAAATATAGTTTTCCAACAATTGACAGGTGCATATTTATCCTTAATCGTCCTTGACAAATGATAACATGATTTATTGCATAATCCCAAGAATTAAGCAATATCGAACACATTATGTAACAAAGGACATATTTTGTATAGGTAAATAAACTTGAATAACTATGGAACTAAATTTACTGATATGTGTCAACAAATAAGCCAAGTCTATTTAAATAAAGTTTTATAAACATAAATGCTGTACTTAAACTTGACTGTTATATGATACATCTTGCTAAATGAAGAAGTACAAACGTACGTATCATGTGAACGAAACAATAGTATGCGGAACATTTAAATAAACAGATTATTTTCTTTAAATACCTCATATATCTATTTCTAATACAATGATTATGAACTTTGGTTTCATATCTTTTAGTCAAAATAAAGAAGCATTATATTTATATCAAACTTTAAACAATTATCTAATCATTATGAACAAATTAAGTTTAAAATTATAATTCAAGATCAATACAAGTCAAATTGCCCCTTCTGTTGTTCCGAGAACTAACTAGTGCACTAAAAAAAATATTCGAATAATAAACGGACATATTTTTTTCGAAAACAGTTCTTTGATATTTTATAGTGTGTTTTTCTATGTTGTGATGTTATACTATTGTTTCAGAAAAGGGAGAAGGTTTGGTACCATTAAAACGTTTAATCCCGCAGCAAATGTTTGCACCTGTCCTAAGTCAGGAATCTGATTACAGTAGTTGTCGTCTGTTTATGTAGTTCATACGTGTTTCTCGTTTCTCGTTTTTATATAGATTAGACCGTTGGTTTTTCCGTTTGAATGGTTTTACACTAGTAATTTTTTGGGGCCCTTTATAGCTTGCTGTTCGGTGTGAGCCAATGCTCCGTGTTGAAGGCCGTACCTTGACCTATAATGGTTTACTTTTATAAATTGTAACTTGGATGGAGAGTTGTCTCATTGGCACTCATACCACATCTTCCTATATCTCTTTACATAGGAAAAGATTGATCTTACATTAAATATCAGATAAGTAGGAGAATTTATAAGAATGGTAACGTTTAAGATTGCTCTTTACATCAAGAACCTGAAATTATTCTGTTGATAGACATCTGCTATAATATGTCATTGTATAATTCGTCCTTCCTAAATCGTCGAGCCACTCAAGCAGCATTTTTAGAACGTTCACGTTTGTTTGCTTCTCGCATTTCCTTAATAATTTGTTAGCTGAAATATTTGTACTTAATAATCATGATAATGATATATATTTTTTTCTAATATAACGTTAAACAGTTCAAATAAAACAAAACCACAGACATCTATTTCTTGAACGAAATGATCACTTAGCGAATTCCTGTATTTATAAATATGTACAAGGCTTTTGTATATCATAACTTCTATTAAATATTTCGCTTAAGGATACTGTTTCATTGCTTTTGTAAAAATAGATGTATGTAAATGTCGAAGACTATGCACATACATATGTTAAATACTGCCTTTAAAAATAAGCATCAACCTATACCATATTTTTAACACACTTCCAAAATATGTGAACAGCTTGATCGTACTGATGGTCCAATTCATCTTTTACTTCAATGCTAATGGTAGCCTGCAGGTTAAAAAAAAAACACACATACAATTCACTAGTTTCTGAACGTTAAGCTCACACGATGCAGAGATAAAGTGCTAATATGTATAAATGTAAAGTCGTATAATATATTAAAGTACTACAACACGAATGACATTTTAAGAATCAGTAATACATGTCTTTAACAATAATGAAAAAAAAAAAGATTTAGCGATTTTTCACTTGTAATTCTATACAAGTTAGTCCGACAATTATTCTTACAAAAACTAAACTTACAAAAATGGGGGGGGGGGGGGGATCAATTAACTATCAAACATAACAATTCTCATTATATAAGAATGTATAAAATATTTAAACAAATTGAATAAGGAAGTATGATATAAAGTATAAAATTAGTGACATACCCTCCTACTGTCCCATCGAAAGGCGTGTAATTATCACCACCAGTATTGGTGGGGCTCGTGTTGCTCAGTCGTTTAGTTTCCTTAGTTCTCTATGTTGTGTTTTGTGTGCTGTTGTTTTTCTGCTGGTCTTTTTCCTTTTTTTAGCCATGTCGTTGTCAGTTTAGTTTTTATTAGTGAGTGTGAATGTCCCTTTTGTTATCTTACGCCTCTCTTTTACACAAAAACCTCTCTAGCAAATTTGTAAGGAGTAACGACTGAATTCAACACTTCATATGTTTGGCAGTCATTGTCACAAATTGGTTGACCGATAAACAATGCATCTATGATATTTTTTGACTGTCTTAAATCTTTGTGTACCAGAATAGTCGTTTAATCTGTAATTTTACCGATTATGAACGATTCCCGATTAGGATATTTTAACTGGGTGTGGATTCGAATGTGAATATTGCACGCAGAGCAGGAAACGCTTGACCTGGTCTGAGATCATTCCTTTCGGAGTTCATGCGATTTCCTTTGTTCAACCTTGATATGTATTTTGGTAATCGATTAACGAGGTCTGATTATCGGTAAAATATATTGGCTTAAAAAGATGAACAACAATAACTCGTGTTATTTTGAGATAACATTTTAGATAGTTATAAATTTGTAAAAACGTATGGTTATTTCCTTGTATTATTGGAAACTTTTGTATGTGTATTAGTAAATTATTCCTTTTTAATCTACATGGGAAAACCATTAAATATATATGTTTCTATAATGTGACTGATATTTTTTTTTTATGTTTTCATATTTGGTTGGAACAGAACGAACACAGGATACTGACAAAGAGTGCATTCAAACCTTTTGAGTGCCCATACCTTGCTATGATCCACAATCTATTTCATTGGTATGTACTTTTGTTCGTGATAAAAACTTGAAATGCATTTTAATATCATATTCAGAAAAAAATTATGGCAATTATTTGCTTAAATTGGAAAAATTTTACGACAGAAGAAGGAGAACATGCAAACAAAACGATGTTTTTTTTAAATATTCACTCAAAGACAGGTTTTCGATCATCGTTTTTTATATTAGGTGTCAGACAATCAGCAATCAATATGATTAACGTTGCATAAAGAATGCACTATGCGGAATTTTTAAATGATTCAAATAAAGAGTGCAATTTGCTCTTATAAACATGATAGCGGTTTTCAGCCCGCAGACATGGTTAATCCCGCCACATTCCATATGTGCCTTTCCAAGTCAGCAACGTGCAAATCAGTTGTTATCGTTTGTGGCAGTTGATTTATTTTCATAAATAAAGCCATTAGTTTTCTAATTGGAATTGTTTGTCGGTGCCTTTTATATGGCAGTTGTTACATGTATCAAATAGTCCGGTTCTATGCATGTTGGCGTTTATCTGTTTGTTTTTCGTTTTTTTTTTCTTCAGTTCAGTGTTTCTGTTGTGTTGTTGTTTTCCTCTTATAGTTGATGTGTTTCCCTCGTATTTAGTTTTTAACCTGCATTTGTTTTCGCTTAATCGATTTACGGCTTTTGAACAGAGGTATACTACTGTTGCCTCTATTCATAGCTAGCTATGTGGTACACAGGCACACGGTGTTTAAGGGCGTTCGTAGATCTATAGTTGCTTACATTTAATCTCAGATTAAACATTTTCTCATTGGCAATGTTTTCACATCTTCTTAGTTTTTATAGCGTTGCTTTGTCAGCAATATACAAATCGTCTCATGTGAAGTAAAATCACAAAAATAGTGAACTCCGAGGAACATTCAACACGGAAAGTCACTAATCAAATGGCAAAATCAAAAGCTCAAACACATCAATCGAATGGATAACAACTGTCATATTTTTGACTTGTTACAGGCATTTTCTTATGTAGCAATGATGGATTAAACCTGGAATCACCGTTATACCTTGTCAAAAAACTCTTACATTATGCAATGAAATCACGGTTATTTATTCTTATATTTTTATGATTTTAAGATTGTTCTAGTTTTCATTATTTATAATTGTGCATACAGTGATTTATGTTCAAATGGATTTATTTTGCTGTAGGGAAGTTGAGCCTATATTATAAATCAATTTTGCTAGGACGAAATTATGAACACACGTGAAATATTTCTGGGACAAACAGGAACCAGTGAAGAATTAAAAACCATAAGCCATAAGCCATAGAAAGACTGGCAACACAATTGAATTGGAATGCTCTTATAACATAGGTAAGAAAAGTCGATAACACTACAAACAAATTACACATAAGGTATTATACGGTTTGATATTATATTATATCAATTGCATTTAAAACAAACTCTTATTCAAGTTAAGTGAAATATGTCTCAGATAAATGAGAAAACCGAAAAATGAAAATTATCACTACATATTAGATGTTGCTGTTGATTTAATGATTGCAGTGCAGAAAACTCTTTTGAAACTGTAAGAAGAATAGAATAGCATTATTCAAGTGATACTTATTAATGTGTTTTTGAATACATCTGTAAACAAATTCTTAAATTTTGTATTTCCCCGAGATACAAGATTTGAAAAAAACACAGGAAGTAGTAAAATGGGCGAAACCATTTTCAACATAAAATATAGCGCGAGTTAATAATAATAACATAAACGGTACCAATTTTTCTGCACCAGATGCGCATTTCGACAATCAATGTCTCTTCAGTGATGCTCGAGCCCAAAATAATTGAAAATTCAAAGCTTATTAAAAAGATGAAGAGCTAAAAAAAAAAAGGACAAAAAAGTATAGCCAAAGCCGTGCAAGGAATCAGAGCTTTGCATGCGGGAGATACATGACTTAATTTCTAAATTTTTGTAACAGCAAATTTTAATAACACAAAATCAATATTTTCATAACAGTACAGAACTACTGGCTACTGGGCTGGTGATACCCTCGGACAAAGCACATCGACTATAGGTACGTGATCTCTCCATATAATATACCTATATGAAGTTATTTTCTGCCAGAACGATAGGTCTTTCTTTTTGGAGAATCAACCCGGACGATACGAAGTAGCAATAATGCGTCAAGGAACACATGTCATTATTTTCCTGATGAAAATGTATACTTAAATTCGCTCAAACATTTGATTCGTTTGATAGTTATCGTGTGCTGCTATCAAATGGGGTTTTACTTTTTAATTTTCCATTTTTGATAGGCTTCAGATTTAACACATTCGTGTGTAGGATGTTGAACATTTTATTGCAAACAGTATTGCCTTTGTGTGTTATACGACAAGAAAAAACCTTAAAATATGCATTATCTAAAACCTTACATAATAAACGTACCTGATTTTTCAGCAATCATACAAGTGAGAGGTTTATCTAACTATAAAACACCAGGTTTAATCCACCATTTTCTATATAAGGCAGACGTTATCCATTTGTTTGATGTGTTTGAGCTCTTGATTTTGCCATTTGATTAGGGACTTTCCGTTTCGAATTTTCTACGGTGTGCAGTATTTTTGTGATTTTACTTTTTATATGACACACATGTACACACAGTTTGTTATGTTGTAGGAACAATAAACCAGATTGTAAGAATTGTTCCTCTGTGCCAATAGCAGATATAAAGATATTGCTAAAATATTGCATCCTAATGATCTGTATAACTTAAGTCAACTATTGACGATGGTTTATTGCTGTCCGACTTAGTGCATCCTTAATGAACTTTTAGCATTCAATAATGCACTAATGAAGTATTTTTCAAATAATGAATTAGAACTATTTGTGTATACAACTCAGTGGTAAGAGTAATTATCATAAATTGAAAATAAATGTCCATACAAAAAATTGAAAATGTAATTTATATTTCATAATTAAATAGACCTACAGTTTTTGTTTGTATTATATATTAGTACAACATAATCGAGAAATTGATAGATATATATACATACCAATCGATTACTAAAAAATGAATATAGTTTCAAAGCATTCTTACATGTTTTCTTTTTTGCATTTGCTGTAGAAATTAGTATCCAAAGTGTATTGCGTCCATGGTGTTAACTGCAAATACTTAATAAGATCCAAAGCTTTCTATAATAAACACGAGTTAAATCTAAATATATTTTTATTGGTTGCTTGAAATCACGTGTTATAAACGTAAACTTTGTTAATGTACCAATATATATATATTATATATGAAAGTTTTGAACTATTAAATTCATGACAAATTACATTTTCAACTACGTATGTATATGCCGATACTAAATGTATGCGGATGACACGTGAGTGAACTCAATCCTCATGTGCGCTCGATCCTTACCCAAAAACTATTGGACAGGATAATGGATTTATATAAATAAAGGTAACAGAAGTATGCCGTTGTTCAATAGTCATAAATCGATTAAAGGAAAACAAATCTGGGTCACAAACTAAAACCGAGGGAAACACATCAACAAGAGCAATACAACGGAACAACAGAAACTCTGAACTGCTACGAAAACAAACGCCAACATACATAGAAACGGACTATTTGATAACAACTGCAATATTCCTGACTTGGTACAGGACATTCATTCGATCTGTGTAATGACAATTTCCTTAAAAAAACACAAATAAGTTCGGAAACCTATTAACTTTTTGTTTTTGTACAATTGGCAACAAAACACGTGCACAAGTAAAACAAAATGCTGAATCATACTGTGACAAAGATGTATTGTAGCAATTGAAAGCAGGACAACAATTTTAAACCTGCTGCAAAATTGAACTGTCCATACATGTAGCTCCAATATTAGTTGTCTCTCTCCATCTTAGACTTTGAAATAGCAGATAACAATCGGTCTAGATTTTCAATGAAATGTGTGAATTTCGAGAGTAGTATGTAATTCATGTGTAAGATTTTACATGTTTGTATAGAAAAATCTGTATTTCATCATGTTGATGGCTGTATTTTTTTACCAAAACAAAAACCAGTATTTTTATTTTTGGTTCGTATTTTTGCCGCATAAGGTTAGATAACTCAAATATAAGGGGAGATAACTCAGATAAAGTAACTTTCTAATATAATGTGTCGTGAACTTACCTATTTTATTATGTAGCAAGAAAACGAGTCTGGTTAACCCATTATCTCTTTTTCTTATCTGAAAGCATATTATTAGAGCTATCTTTTTCTATTTGATCTTAAAATTCTATAATGTAGTTTTCTTTTTATCAACAAAAATTGGGGTTTCAATGCATAATCTATACAATAATCTGACAATTTTGCACAACCTGTAGCATGAAAAAAGCCTGGTGACCCATACTTTTTATTACATTTTGAAAAAAAACATGATATAAACTACATTTTCACAAATTATTAAAAAAAAACTGGATTTTAATTCAGACCCCCTATCTTCCTTAAAACAATATCATGAACAGTGGTTCACCGGTATGTGCTATATTCTTCGTAAAGGAGTTGGTTAAAAAATATTTATGGCCTAACAATCTAAGATCTAATTTTACTGCTATAATGTTGCAAACATTTTGTGAAAAGATTAGTTTAAATGTCCAATTGTGTAAAAAAAATCACCAAATGCGTCATTCGTGACGTATTTGTGACGTCATCAATATAGTTGAATTTCGTAATAGAAAACTTATCAATTGCATCATATGGCAAGATCTATGACATTTTTTTGAATTAATTGTGGCGCTCCCACTTGCCATCAACTGTTTTGCCTTAAATATCCTTTATATATCATATGCTTTAATTTAACAAAATTTTCAATGGACGACGGGCGGTGTCAGATATAAAATCATGAAAATAGGTAAATAAAGGTGACACATATATTTACTTTCACTTTCGTTTTAAGTACCTACGTTGTACTGTATTATGACGTTCAGGATTAAATAATGATGTCGCGTGCGAGGGAAGGAAAAAATCGAACACGTTTGTGGAAAAAGACACATTTTTGGGATTGGACACGTTTGGAGGGATTTTCACGTTTGACAGTGTTAAATATATATGTATAAGTCTATAAAAAGGACCAACCAGTAAATTTAATATGTACCGGACTATCTCGAATAGAAGATACTGCACTGATAAGGAAAACAATATATAAGTCTAAAGATTTGCACAACGGTACTAATATGAGATGGTAATATACGAAGATGATGTCATACAATCGTGTTGACAAATATATCGGCTTGACACATAGCCTTCGTCAGTGTCAAGTACGAAGCTGATGAGCACATATGACCCACAATTGAGAACAGTTTTCCCAAATTCAACAAAGGTAATCTTTTGCTGGGGTAGAAAATCTTAGGTATTGCGAACAATTCAAAGTAGTGTAAACAGTTAATTCATACATATGACCATGTCAATGAAAGTGATACAACTGGAAGAACGCTTTACTATAATTGATATATGTATCCATGTTCGACGTAAGTTATTTGGCTATAAAATGCCCAAACATGAAAAATATGAAACAATGCAATTGAGAAAACCAATGGTCTAATTTGAAACAAACCAATTTACGAAAAACAAATACAACAGATATGAACCATGGACAACCACTGAACTACAGGCACCTGACTTAGGACAGACACATACATAATGTGGCGGAGTTAAATATGCTTGAAGGCACCAACCCTTAAAAAGCAGTTAAAAGACCAATACGATCAGAAAATCAGCTAACAAAAACACAAAAGGACGTGACAGGGAATATTTATACATTACTAAAAACAAAAACAAAAAAGAAATACAAAGTACAGATCTGGAAGTACTTGTAGCTACTGGCAGCTATTTCAACGGTATCTTGTTTTCGACTTTCCTCTTCTCGACTTTCGAAAAGAGGGGCGAAAGATACCAGTGAGACATTCAAACTCATAAATCGAAAATAAACTGACAACGCCATGGCTAAAAAAAGAAAAAGACAAACAGACAAACAATAGTACACAAAACACAACATAGAAAACTAAAGACTAAGCAACACGAACCCCATAAAAACAGGGGGTGATCTCAGGTGCTCCGGAAGGGTAAGCAGATCCTGCTACACGTACACATGTGGCACCCGTCGTGTTGCATATGTTAGTACAAACTCGGTAACAAGTCTAACTCGGTAGTTCACAAATAGGATTTAAAACTTGTACTCATGAATTTTCTTACTTCAAAAAAATATTTTCCAATTAAATCAACCCTGGAGCCTTTTTCAAGTTTGCACTTTGTCAAAATTCAGTTATTAAGTCATTAAAACTTGGAAAATAAACGCCTTTACATTGACCAAAACACATTTGGAAAACAAGACTCAGCTATAGAAATTTAAAACGAAGCAGCATCATAATAAGTTAATATGATGTTATGCTATAGGATATTGTGTATGGCAATCATCGTCATTAATGAGAATATATCAAAATAAGTTAGTTTATTTCTATGTGTACAGACATTTAACAGTTTTATTTACTATAGAATGTAGAATACATATAAATAAAGATTAATGACAACATATTTGTTGAATTTGGAGGTAGACTTTTTCAACAAATTGTCGGCATTCCTATGGGAACGAACTGTGCACCTCTCCTTGTCGATCTCTTCTAATTTTCATATGAATCGGAGTTTCTTCAGACACTTGTCAAAAACAAGAAGATCAAATGAGCCAGGTTATTTAATTTCACATTCAGATATATTGATGATGTTCTTTCCATTAACAATCCGAACTTTTCTGATGGGTTCCGTTAATATATCCCCCGGAACTAGAAATTAAAGAAACAACAGATACGGCTTCCTCGGCCTTATTTTTTAGACTTATACCTCGAATTTGACATACACAGTCATCTCAGTACCAGAATCTATGACAAACGAGACGATTTTAATTTTAAAATTATCAATTTCCCCCAACTTAGTCATTATTAGTAGCAATATACCAACTTCACCTGCATATGGAATATACATTTCCCAACTTATTCGGTATTCAAGAGCTTGCAGCTCCTACCAAGACTTTGTAAAACGTCACCAGTGTCTGAGCAGAAAGTTGATAAACCAGGGGTATGTCAAAGAACTTCTTGTCCTTTTTCTAAAAAAAAATTCATCGGAAGGTACCTAGACCTTGTTGATTAATATTCCGTATCAACTACACAAATAATACACGATGGTCTTAAAGTATAGATTCTGGGTACTGACGTTGTTTATCATCTTCATAACGTGTTATAGTATTCTTTTATTTGTCTTTATGAATATTACTTTTACTGTTTAGTCTGTTTTTGGTGATATCCATTTGACGTGACTCTGTACTTATACATCCCGTCATTGTGTTATTGTTCTATGACAATTTTTGTATTCTTGTCTTTCATTTTTGCTAATGTACTTTGTATATATGCCTTTTTGTGTTTCTTTGATACATATGACGTGGCTCTGTACTTATACATCCCGTTATTGTGCTATTGTAATTTTTTGTATTCTTGTCTTCTATTTTTGCTAATGGGCTTTTTCTATAGCCCTTTGTGTGCTTCTTTGTTACATATTTGTTAGTTTTTATAGTGATTAAAATTATAACACAATATTGACAGCTGTACCCCTATTTTTGACATTTTTACTTATTATATCTGTTTGTATTGTTCACACATCGTTGTCAAAATAATGGAATTTGATGCGACTGTCATACAAGTGAGAGGTTTAGCTAGCTATAAAACAAAGTTTAATCCACCATTTTTTACATAGGAAATGCCTGTACCAAGTCAGTAATATGACAGTTGTTATCCATTCGTTTGATGTGTTTGAGCTTTTGATTTGGTCATTTGATTAGGGACTTTCCGCTTTGAATTTTCCTCGGAGTTCAGTATTTTTGTGATTTTTCTTTTTACAGATAAAAATATTCGTAAAATTAAAATAATTCTTGATTAATATAAAACAATCAATCAATCTGTTTGTAAAATAACACTTATTTAATGAAAATATACGTAATGTTCACTATTTCAAATTTTATTTTCGAAAGTTTAAGGACATCTTTTTAATTGAACTTAATTCTTAAATTCTCACGACTGAGTTTACAAGAATGTTAACAATAAATGTTTGTCCCTCTCATAAATATTGAAGGTTTCTAACAATATCCAAAAATAGATCTAGTTTTCAGAATACATTTTAA